ATATTATATATATATATATATATATATATATATATATATATATATATATATATATATATGAATTTATGATAATTATTAAAGTTTTTATTATTGACAGCTACAAATATGGGATACTGCAGGCCAAGAAAGATTTCGAACAATAACTCAGAGTTACTATAGATCTGCAAACGGAGTAATTGTAGGTATGTAATTAGATCTTTATGTTTTATCAGATGTACAATCATCTCTTAATTTATATTGTTAAATTGTCTTATATTGTTAAATTAAAGAACAATTTCTAACTTGAGAATTTGTTTTATAAAACAATGGGAATTACATTAAATTTTTTTGGAATCGCAGTTTGTCTTTATATGACTTTTGGTTATTGATTGATCACATTAATTAATTTAATTAATTGTTCTAAAAATAATACACAATTATTTTAGTTTATGATATTACGAAGCGATCGACATTCTTAAGTTTACAACGTTGGGTTGAAGAGGTCCGGAGATATACGTCATCGCATGTATTACTAGTGTTAGTTGGTACGATTCTTTATGCACATACATTATGATTATTTCGCAATATCATTGAATTGTATACTTCTTCAATTTTTGCACGTTTCTCACTTTATAGGTAATAAATGCGACTTAGAGGATCTGCGAGAGGTGAAGAAAGCCGAGGCCGAAGCCTTATGCCAATATCTGCCTGAAGTTTTACAAGTAGTGGAGACCTCAGCCAAAGATAATACAAATATAGATTCTATCTTTTTCTATCTGGCATCAGAACTTAAGGTAAATACACTTTTAATATTGCACAATAATTCTTCATATAATTTTGTAAGTCGAGACTACGCGCTACTGTTCTTTTTTTTTTTTAGAGACGACATGATAATCGCCAGATTAGTGCGAGCGAGGACGAAGTAGTAAAGCTCGGAGTTGGTCGAGATCTATCTTCTTGTTCAGGTTGTTCATATAAGATATTTTAAAACTCATAGATTCTTTTCTTTTTATCGTTTCTGATCGAAATTTATATGAAATAATGAATGATAAGATAAAAGGCAGTCAACAATATATCTCGTGATTTTTCTCTGCATCATAAATCTGTTTCAGTTGTTTCTAAAATAATTGAAAAATAGACATTAATAAGGAATTTATTTAAATGAATTTTCTACAAACTTTTTTTTATAAAAATTTCATCTTCTGTCTTTTATCTTATTGCAGCGCGATACAAATTAATATCTACAGTAGAATACACGTGTGTGATGATTCTATTGATATAATAGAAATTTAGGTGCCAAACTTAAAATATCAATCTCGAAAAATATGAATCTCATAAGAAAGATCTAATTGTTAGAATAAAATAAATCATTTATGCTCCGAAAGCTTGCCGTCCGGGGAAAAACATATATTTTTATACGCAATTTAACGAAAACATACAAATATCAACGTATACACATATATGCATATTGACACACGTTACATATATGTTGATATTTCACGAATACTATGGCGACCTGAAGAAATTTTTAGTGTTTAGTGCCTTAAAATGTCACGTTTCTATATGGTGGAATGCACATTCGCGAAGTGCAATCAAGAAGCTTACAGAGGATTATTATTGCGAATGACAACTTAATATGTTTCTTATTTATTTTATTTATTTACGCATGTACGAATGTTGTTGCGGCGAACGCGAAGTTTAGTTTCATCGTCGGGCGTCCATTCGAGTTAGAAGCTGTAAATACTAATAGCTGCATTCTCAGTGCGCATTTTACGCAAAAAGTCGCCGTCTGATTCTTAATTTTTCAAAGAAATGGCTCAGATGACAGCATTTGAGCGTTAAAGGCGCGCCGAGAATGCAAATGTAGAGCGTGTTCAAGATTTAAACAAACGTGATTGTTATTTATGAACAAAAAGAATCTCTATTAATGCTTATATATAAATCGTTGTAATATATGTTTTTGATACTTATGTTGCGCACACTAGTATATTTTTGTAATACTCGTGAATTTTTAATGAGAATACTGATATGTAAATTATTCAAAAATCGTAAACATTTTCGTTATTTTGCGCCGATGTTCATACATATACTCAAAATTAACATACAAAATGTTTCGCAATTCGGGATTTTTGTTAATTTTTAAATATCTATATATCTCGGTACATTTTATTTTTTGACAATATTTTCAGAAATAAAATCCACACATCGGTTTTCGTGCTTTTCGTTGTTAACTATATATAACTTGCCTTGAACTATGCGCATGCGAAAAAGTATTGCGTGAAACGTAAACTCACATTGCATCTTAAATATTGCAACTATGCGCCGAAATAATACACAAGATAATAATGTAAAGAGTTCTAGTGTCTCGTAAATTAATCAAATGTTTCGAAAATTACACGCGAGTTATATTATTTAAATATTTTTTGTATACTTATCGTATTCTTTTATATATGTAAAAAACAAGAAGTTTTCTTCTATTTTTTACTTCTCTCCTTGTTATATGAAAAACTTATGAAATTTTTGTAACATTTGATTCTGTGAGTAATTGTATATGAAGCAATTAGAAATATTTATTGTACTTTATATAAATGTAGACAATTGAAAAATATATTTTTCTGTAAAATACATAACGTGTAGCGTAATAATCCGTCAATTATATTAAATAGATTCATATATTTTTTCATATTTAAATATCAAACAATAGTAGAATTTGTATTCACTTTATTACAAATCTTCATATGCATATACAAGCAAACCAACAGCTTCAGCTTAGCATGCGAATATAGATTCACTTTATAGAAGATTCGTAGTATATAAATGATAATCTGATAAGTTACACTTAAAAAACATTTTTATCACAGTGATAAAAAGCTAATCATCTTTTTATGCAATAATTGTCTGACCAGAGAGTTGTATTAAGTTTTTTTTTTTTCTAGTATTTTTTTCAGTCAATTTTTATTTTCAGTACAATTGCTGTATCAAAGAGCTACGTATGTAAATTCGACTATAAAACGCCAGCTGAGAATCATTCGTCTTTATTGCGTTAAAATAATATTGCAGATTGAATAGATGCATACAATGAGATAAAACGAGGTAGAAAAGATAATCCGATATTGAAATAACATGATAGAAATCTAAAACTGGCCATAAATTCGCGTAGATGTTAATATCAAATTAAATTTATGATATCAAGTACATCTGTCGCATTAGTTTATATAATACTTCCATATATATTAATGGGAACAATACCAGCATAAATCTATAAAAAAATTTTTCTGTTATATAAAAACAGTCTTACGTACGTAAGGCACTTTTGATGCTGCTTTTATGTCGATGTAAATATATCGTCATTAGATTCATATGAATATTAACAGACTACAATTAGACTCCGGCGAATTGCAAATATATTTGAAAAGATCTATAATTGACGATGTAAGGAGAGAGAGAACAATGATGGTGTAAAATAGCTATATTTCATAAATCAATGAAGAGGCTAATAGTTTCTCTCTGTTCTATCAAAATCTTTTCTATTAAAATCACACAAGTGCCTGAGATTCTTATCCATATTTGCAACACAATGCAATGTACTTCTTCATTAATTTAATATTTCTTAAAGAATTACATTGCCGATTGATGTCATTATATTTTAAAATTATTAAAGAATAATTTTATATATTTTAAAGCAACAAAAAAAATATAAACGAAGAAATCAATAAGGGAAGACTTAATCTGAACAAATCCTTGATACGAAGACATTCAACATAGAAATGATAAATATATAGGTATGATATATATATATATATATATAGATTTTTTGTGTTACTAATCGATAATTATGTATAATTGTTAACAAAAATTTATACGATCAAGTAAAACCTAAAACCTTTTATTTTACATATGTATCTCTTCTTGTAGAAGAGAAATTAACTACAAATAATCCTAAATCTTCAGGTCTAACGCGTCGATCTCATACTCTCTTGTAAGTCCTCCTGTACATTTCATCCACCTGCGTTAAGTAATACGTGCCTGGGAACATATCATTTATGCTACTCTCCGGAGTGAATGGCACAACGTGACAATTTTGCTCTCTCAGCGCCAGCACTCTGGTGTAATCCTCCGGGGAAACGCAGTGGCGTCCCTCCAACTGCGACTTGACGTAGGAGAGAGCGCTGATGATCTTCGACAGACCGGAACCCTCTTGCGTGTCCTTCGCCACCGTCAACGAGTACATGCTGGAGCACAGGCCCGAGCCATAGGAGAAAATACCAATCTTATTGCCTGCCAATTCATTTATCGGCTTTGATATGAGCAACGATACTAAACCGGAGTATACCGATGGTGTGTACATGTTCCCGACTTGATTCGCTATCAGCAGACTGGGCTGGGTCTTCCGTTCGAAGTCCGCCTTGCTCAGCTGCATGAAGGCTTTCTCGATGTCCTGGTTGAAATAAGTATCCTCGAGCTTAGTGGCGTGGAATTTTGTCACGTCCTTGTAACCGTCGGGAATCTGATTTTCCGGGATGTTTAGGAAATCGATAAAGGCCAATCTGGCGAATGATTTTCGTACGAGTTTACAGTACGGCGAGTGGAAGAGCATCGCGTCGAAATTGGTCAACGTCACGGGGCTCTCGTCAGGACTCTTCCTCTTGACTTTCTCGCGATACAGCTGATAACAGTTATCTAGAGCGCTGAGGTAGCACTGGATCGACAGTTTGCCGTCCACAACGGGATACTCGGAGCGCAGGTTCGGCTTGTAAAAGTCGTAAGCGTGCCTCATGTAGGATGCTCGGAGACCGCGATCGAACACGAGAGGTGCATCCGGACCTACCAGGATCGCTATCGCACCCGCGCCACCGGTCGGCCTGGCGCTGCTCTTGGAGTACACCGCGTTGTCGGCGGCGACGACCAGAGCGAGCCTGCCGTCCCAGGCGCTGCTCTCGACCCACGCGATGGCATTGAAGAGCGCGGCGGTGCCGCCGTAGCAAGCGTTGGTGGTATCCGCGCCCTCGATGTCGGTGCAACCGTGCGGCTCGAATAGCTGCATCAGCACGGTTTTCACCGACTTGCTCTTATCGAGGACGGTCTCGGTGCCCACCTCCAGTCTCCCGATGTCCTGCGGCTTGATGTTGTAACGCTCGAGCAGCCGGTGCGTCACGGTCAGGCACAACGAATTAATGTCCTCGCGGTCGTTGCAGAAGCCCATCCGCGATTGACCCAGGCCGATCGTGTACTTGCCCGCGGACACACCGTCGTACGCCTCCAGCTCCGTCTGCTCCACGTACTGCGCCGGGAAGTAGACCTCCAGAGCCCGGATGCCGACGTCCTTCGGCCACATCCTGCTGTCCTCGAATGCAAAACCTTCTTGGAAACGATACTTCTTTCTCTTCTTCTCCTTCCTCAGATTTACGTCAGTCAACCCGACGATAGAACCTGTCAATTAATTCTAATTAATCACCGTGCCGTTCTCGCGTGATGCATGAATATTTGATCCCATTGAACTCACCACGATGCAAGCAATCACGTAGTCGTGCGCGACGTGACTCTGCGATGTCTCCGGAGTAATGGATTTCCGTAGAAGCTGTAGAAGTCTTCGCTGATAAACGATGACTACGACGACGAGTCGATGATACGCGCCAAGGCAACACACACATACACACACACACACACACACACACAGGCGCGTGCACACGTTGACCCGTTCGCTCGTCCCCGGCGAATTCAGGTTAGAAGTGAAACTCCGCTCGGTTCGGTGAAAATCCCGGTCGTCGTGCCGTCGCTTTCGATTGCGTGCTTCGAAGCCCGCGCGACGGAGCCTCCGATTCCGTTAAGTCGGCCGGTCAGCGGCTGGCTGGCTCGCGAGTCACGTGGTTCCCACGATGCGACGTGAAAACCCGCGCACGACCGAGCTCTCGCGAGCGAATGCGCACGCGGCGTCCGCACGCGCGATATAACCATGTCGTGCCGCGGAATGACTGCAGGGGGCGGGGGGAGGGGAGGGAGACGGCGGTGAGGGGAGAATGGTAAAGAGGATCATCACTGACGATACTCGCGAATTTCTTGCTTCGCGAGCCTCGAGGTCTCGCGAGAGTTTGCATGACAATCGAACTTGGAGGCATTGTTACGTCGACAATAATATTAGGGGGAATGATAATATACGCGCATGCAAGAATAATGCGGAAGATTTTCTATTTTAACGACATACGTATTCTTTATGTTGGACAATATTAAAAAATACACGAACAGTTTTGTTGGTAAATTTAAAAATTTGATTCAAATACAAATCTGAAAATAATTTTGTTACAGACCATCAGAAATATTATATAAGACACTAAACATAATATTATTGCAATAATTTTTGATCTTAGATTTGTTTTTTGTTGGATTACACTTTAATCTTTTTATCTCGCTTTTATCAAATTTCAAATATACAGAGTGGCCCACGTAAAGTGTTACTCTAAAATTATTTGTTGCATTAAAAAATCATTCATGAGAAAGTTCACGAACAATTTCATTTCATGTATTCAAGGAACCTTTCTACGTAAATCTTCTTTCGTCGTAATTGAATTATGATTTTCTTTTTGATACAACCCCCAAAAATAGTCCAAAGATGTAAGATTAAATTAACGAGAGAGTCATTGAACAAAAGATTTAGAATGAAGAATACGTGAAGTTTGCGCTAACGTGACCCCAGAAATGTCTAGACCCAGTAAACAGAATATCTAAAATCGATGCATAAGATAATTTCAAAATATCTTTCAGAATTCTTTATGAGATATCTTAAAGATATTTTTAAAGAATTCTTAAAGATATCTTAAAGTTATCTTATGCGTCGATTTTAAACATTTTGCTCATTGGGAAGTTTCAATATTTATAATTTTTGATAAAAGCATTTCTCTCTCTCCCTC